TTGGATGCCCGGACTCCAACGCCAAGACTCTTGCAAAATCGCTGAAAGAATTCCGAATCAGTCAGTCAGGTACGTCATGAACACTGAGTGTATTGAACACAATTGACCTTTACGCTATTTGTTTTGCCTCAAGTTTCTCCTCGCAGAAGTACTACTCAGAGACCTCAAAAGTTAAGAGTCCACACTGGGTGCCATTAAAAGAGTCGCTCTGGCAGGTGTAAGCTCCACCGCCTTCCATCATCTACGCCAAACGACTGTTCCTTATGACTAATTTGGACAAATGAAGGCCAGTAGTAACCTTGGCCCAGCCATACTCGATCAGCTCGTCAAACATCTATTTGGGGTCACAGTCCTGAGTCGACATGCCAGCAACCACACGTTTCCGCCTTCGGTTCGAGTCCGTCGTGTTGACTGCGACTCCTGAGAGTCACTTATTTCTGCTCTTCGTGGCCAAGACGCAGTCGTATCTACCATGGCGACCCTGGCGCTTGAACGCCAGCTCCTGCTAATCGGCGCATCGGCTGCCGCCGGCGTGCGCCGTTTCATCCCCTCGGAGCTTGGCTCTGACACGACGAACCCGAATTGTGCAGCACTGCCTGTCTTCAAGAATAAGGTTGCGACCCAGAAGGCGCTGCAGGACGGCACGGCCAAAAGAATGGGTTCAGCTCTACGGTTGCCTGCACTGGTGCGTTTCTAGATCGGGGACTCACCAGAGGCTTTATGAACATCAAAGACAGGAGCAATTAGTCTCTAGTCTCTATGATGGCGGCGATGAAGTCTTCAGCACTACAACACTACCAACCGTCGGCCACGCTGTGTGTGGTGTGTTGGCACATCAGAGAGAAACGGAAAATCACGAAATCGGAATTCATGATACTGCCACGACACAGAATAAGCTGTTCGCGATGGCAAAGAAGAAGGATAATATATTGAGAGAAAGAAGCAACCTAACACTACCGAATCAAGAGGAGCATAAAGGCCGCTGGCAGCTCTAACTACCTTGCGATGGAGTCCTGCTATTTGAATGCGACGGTATAAGCCACTCGCGCATTGCTTGACCACAGAAAAGTGACAGAAAACAACTAGCTCTACCACCTCATCAGTACCGCGGAAGCCGCTCAAATGATGCTGAAACGTGATGCGCTAGCCAATCTTCGAAGAAAGTTAGGACGAGGTGCATTCGAGTTCGATGGTTCAGCCAGACCGAGGGAGCCTAGGCTGTGAAAGCCATACGTGCAGCGACTGATAAGGGAATGACAGCTCTAAAAAATGAACTATTGAATGCTAAGCCAATGCCAAGATGGTCGAGGCATCACAAGCGCGGTGCGGCTGATAAGGCTCAGAGCCTCATGACGAGAAATATTTAGCCAATATTCCCAATTACCTGTGTGTGATGTGTTGCAAAATCACTTGAGGTTACCTTAAGGTCATCCACTATGAATTCTCAATTCACTCCCCTTCCCAGTTGCCCAGGGGTTTCAGAGATCACGTATGAGAAGAACTGGTTTCATCTTTCTTCAACGCCATTGTTCAACATATGTTCGAAGTGTTATGTCGATCATTTAAGCCGAACACCATTCGCCGGTCATTTCCATAGGGAGTATGATGCATCAGAAATAGGACGCAGCTGTGATTTTGATAAACCGAGAACACGCGGAGCGTTGGCACAAGCACTTCAAAGCAACGACTTTAGCGTTCTAGCAGACTGGCTAAACTACCGCTGCCGTATTCCCAACTGTAAAGTCGGTGGCATCGTTACGCCTAACGATAACTTTGATTGGTACCCAAAACTTGGCTTACCTATCGAGAACTTTGGGGTTTGTGGAGCTTGCTACGAAGACTATGTTGTCGGAAGAGGTTTCACATCAGCATTCGAAACGGTGCCCGTCAAGCAACCAGCGTCTGAACCCATTTTCTATTGCGATACTGGTGGGAAAATAGGCCATCGAGCGGTGAATAATGCGCGAGATGCTGAAAGTTTCATTGCGGCTGTCATCGAATCCAATCAGACAACAGACTGTCCTATCAGGGAAGCCGTCGACCCGTCATCTCGCAATTGGTATAAGATGCGACCGAATGATCTACAGTCCCATTGGATCTGCGATCGATGCTATTATGAATATATGACTGCATCGGTCCTCGAACCTTATGTTTACTCTGTTGGGAAACCCAACATGAAACCCGGCGAGACTTTGAAATGCTGGCTTGGAGATGTGCTACCCATCAAAATCGCCTGCACATGGGCCTTGATCAAAAAAGACTTCAATGTCTTCTATCGGGCTGCTCAAATCGTGGTTCGCGGTCCGCAATGCGTCATGGAAGGTATGGGGCCAGGGGCTGGCTGGATGACTCTTAACCCTCCTTGTGCCAATTTTGATATCGTAAGCAAACTTCATTTTCGCTGCCATTTTCTCCTGCTGCCTTACTACATTATACGGCAACGACTCACATAAAACAATGTAGTGCGGTGGATGTTTTGCGGCATTCGTCGAAGCACCTGACTTCCCACAACGGTTTTCGGCATTCAGTCGAAAGTATGTGGCAGACGGAGAACTGCGTACGTGCGACTTCAATCCCTTGAGTCTTCGTGCATCAAGATATTTCGATCTTCTAGATGCTGGTATCGACTCCGGGGATTCAAAGAGATTTACGGAAGCGGCTCGCGAACTAGCTATGTCATCCCCATGCCCTCGTGCCCAGCCAACACGCAGTCTTGTATGGTATCGCAATGACATCTACGCCTGCTGCCCAGAATGTTGGGCAGCACTCGTACGGGGCACCAAACTCGACAGTCAGGCGTTCCCCGTACATAGAAACGAGCAAGTTCCCTGGGAGATGCCCCTCAAGTGCGATTTCTGGTCCCCTCGCATACGAGGAATGTGGAAAGAGGCGGTTACGAAAGGTGATCTGACTGAATTCAATACATTTATGCAACACAGATTGCAAATATTTGCTAAAACGTGGCCGGAAGCAAACACTTTACGCGGTCAGGTACGAAACCAGAGCATGCAGCAACTTAATATGTATCAGAATTCTTTCATCATGAGCATTGGGAGTAGTGTTGCTGGAGCTGCTGGGACAAGCTCCAGCTACGGTAATTCGTCAATTGGCTTCCATCCCACAATGGCTGGAGCAGAAGCTGCGCAGCTCTTCAATCAAGCTTCCTCCATGGGCTCTGGGTCAAACAATGGCGCGGTATTTGCTAGAATAGACGAGTTGGACGCGCTGTGGAAAACTGTGGAATAGACGAGGTGTATGCCTTTCAAGGGGTTTTTAAGGGGGTTACTTTGTCTTCAAGGAGACCAATAAAAACATGATCGCCACAGCGTACCCAGGCTTCAGCATCATGAGTATGAACTCCGAGTCTTCCAATATCAATATCAATGAGAAGATATATAAAGGCTATAGAGTATGTCAAAACGTTCTACCAATACTAATCATTTAGCTCCTTGCTATCAAGCACATTGGCGATGATTCTAGCAATATCTTCAGTTCGTGTGATGTGCGCCATGTGTCCAGCTGTCGGAAGTCGAACCACGGTCGACCCAGCTCTCTCGGCACATCGCTCCTGCAGCTCAATACCCATTGCGAGATCATCCTCGAGAATGATATAAACACTGGGCACATCGCGCCACCCGCAGTAGGTGATCACAGAGTCCCATTCCTTCCCAGGCTGATGCCTGATCTTCTGAATCCATGGCTCAGCCATTGCGAGAGGATAATCATTGAAGAAGAGACCCTGCGGGTCCTTGAAGTTGTGTCTGCTCTCATCCTCCTGCATTGTATCATCAGGTCAGCGACTGAGACTTTTTGTGCGAGATCCGAAGACAAAAATATTCAGAATACCAACATTAAACACCATAAACCCTGCAGGACCAATCTTAAATCCTTCCGGTGCGATTCCTGCGGATAGAAATATGATATTGGTTACACCACCCTCCAGTCCCACCGCTTTCCTCGCTGCTGAAGAGAGTCCTCTCATAGCTGCGCTACCGAGATAACCGCCTGCCGAGTGTAGAAGGAGAGTCACAGCCGAGGGTCCTGCATCTTGGACGGCACGATTTATCACGCCTGCGATTGATTCAATGTCATCATCCATTGTGATGACCGGCTTGCGGTGAGAGTCGGTCCCGGTGGAACGAAGACCTGCTAACCAAATCTTAGGATATCCAAGATTGCGGAGGGTGGCGATGAGGGGACCAAAGACCTCCGTGCCTTCATAGATTCCTGGAACAATCACCAATGATGGCGGCGATGTCGCCATTTTGGCCTCTCGCCGACTTTAATGTGTCGAATCGCAGCGTTTCTTGCCTCTCAGTATGGCTCTATTGATTGTGGATGCCCAAAGACACATTCCATAGACCACACGCTCTCGAGCAATCAAACGGAACCAATATACTTTTTTATGAACTACATAAGTCTACAGTTAATGCGCCCGACGACCTTTCTGCCGTGGTTATCCAGTATTCCGGCCTGGAGTAGGTTTTTCCGAGCTACAGAGTCCGAGGATCGAGTACCTGACTTGCCCACGATTTGCCCGAACACTCGCGGGCTTTGATAACGTTGCGCAATTGTCAGCCAATTGTTTTTCTCGAAATTCTGAGCTAAGCTCTCTATTTCAGTTCCTCAGTCTTAATTATCGTAGTGGGATTTAGTCATTATTTCCAGGATAGCGAGACTACATTGATTGGCATTGCTATAGAACTTCGTATATGGTTTATTTTATGGTATAAACGCCAGTTGAGACTGTGTGATAGCCTCTCATACCAACATGTGCTGTCAAAGAACTCTGCCATTGTGCTCCTTGAGATAGTCTTTCGATTGATTTCTCGAAAGTATAGTCAGGTTCCCAGCCTAACTCTCCAACAGCTTTAGTAGAATCATATACTCGATCGATCCTATCGGGATATCTGAATCCTCTTTTGCTAAATTCTTTTATGCTACCAGGGGAGACTGTTTTGATAACAGAGCTCGGGTTAGAGTCAAGGTTTCTTAAAGTCTCACTTGTCCTCGGAAGTGGGCTTGTCGCACTAATGATATACAGACCCCAACCAAGTTCCAATCCCTTCTTCATGGCACATACGCATGATTTGACAACATCGGCAATGTCGACTCTTCGATAGAGAAGCTCGCAAAGCTTCAAATTCTCGTCACCCATCGAATTCCTGCGATCCTCATCGTCGTCCTGCTCAGGAAAGAATCGGCTAGTCCGCAAGACTATTACCGGCAATTGCGTCTGGCGGTGGATGAGATAGCACATGTTTTCGGCAGCGATTTTCGTCACGCCGTAGATGTTCTTGGGCTTCGGGACGACAGACTCATCGATCCATGCCGCAGGCTCTCCCCTTTTCGGACTCAGGGCGGAGCCAAAGGCAGAGGTGGTGCTTATGAAGACGAATGATTCAATCTGTTGTCCCAGATTTGCTGCTTCTTCAAGCAGAATCAGTGTGCCGGTGATGTTTGTTTTGATGAAGTCCTCTTTCGTATGAGAGCCGACGTGTGGCTTGTGCAACGTGGCAGTATGCACCACATGTTTGATTGTCGGGTGGTCGGTAAAGATCTTGGTGATAAAAGTTCGGTCTTCAATGGATCCGACCAAGCTCGATGCCCCGCAGGGAAGAATGTCGATCCCGAGCGGTGTGTATCCCAATGACGGCAATGTCAGCATTAGCGCATAGCCTAGATGACCAGCTGCACCTGTGACCAGGACATCCGGAGTCGGCATATTAGACCAGATGTTATCCAAAGCAGAAACACCAGGATGAACAACAAGGAGAGTGTTGCAAAAGTTCAATTTTTCGATGATTTTGGATAGACTATTGCAGCGTGAGTCATGCAGTCTATCTTGGCTCTCACATGTGCAACGAATCGGCGGTAAGGGGCTGATTAGCATGTTCCAGTTCTTATCATGCGATATCGGGCGATCTACTCCAAACGAAGCGGTCAAGTTGGGTTAGTCGAGACTTCGCATCAAACTTCAACATGAAGAAATACACCTTGAATGATTTATTATACTTATCTGTTAAAAATATACTAAGTCTTCTCCATCGGCTATGTTTAGCTGCACTTAAAGGAACTGATTCGGTCGTTCAAGTTATCATTTTCCAGGTTCAAGATCAAAGTTGCGGCAGTGGCGAACGCCGAACCCGTGCAACTATTACCACTTGACCTGAATATCAGCAATTGTATACACCAACATTTCTCTATATCCACTCACTCATAGTAGGTGCAACTCACTCCGCCTCCGTGAACAATAGAGCTTGCCTTGTTGTTGATTGAGATTGGCAGGTTTTCTGGAAAATTTTCATCAGCAAAACTTTATTATACGTTAAGCGAGGATGACAGGAGTACTCACGGCAACCACCAACAGGCTCATTCAGATATGCGTAGCAGGTCTGACCCCCTTGCCCACTTTCAGCATCGGGGCAGAAAGTTATCACGTGAGTCCCACGATGTTGAACATCGCGCTTGCAAAGATAGAGCAGAGCAAGAACACTTACGCGGCATTCGCAGAAGCTCCCAACGCGACGGTTATTAGCGTCGATACAATTCTAACAATGAGGTCGAGCTTCATCTTGAGCAAAGAGAATAGTAAATTGTTACTAGAAATCTTATGAACTTTAGGCTTGATGTGCCGGATGCGAACCAATTTATACCACAAGCTACAAGATACCAGTGAGATGACTTCATAGCAACCCAGTGTCAAAAATAGCCATGACATCGCGAGGTAAACGTCGATCTTCCAAGGTGATCTCAAATTCCATTTCGATTACAGCAGTTGCGCCGACAAGAGCGAACATGATATGCTGTACTTCGTTGGCGCGGTCGCAGAATCCAGCTGCTTTCGGATCATGAAATCCCAAGCACAGCCGCAGCAGCGCGCGCATGCCATGCCTATAACAAGCAAGACTTCACTAACAGTTGCACTCCAAGCTCATCAATGAGCTCGCTTGAGACACTACTGTAATGCATTACGCTAGCGGCTATAGACATTACTGTGGCTGGTAGCTTTGTGATATTTCAGCACTGCATCTTTGATCCAGCTAACATGTCTAGTAGTAGGAGGCTTTGATCCTAGTCACTCTACGTTATCATGAGGCTTAACGCAACAGAGTTTTAGCACGATCCTTGAAAATACGCGACTATTTGGCTGCTTGCTGTGTATCACGCGGGTGTTTGGCGTCTTCTATACTATTGGCTCGCCTAGACGAGAGTTGTCCCGAAGTGTTTAGCTTGCAATGCATACATGCAGGACGGGTAGTTGAGCGGTACGTTCCGTTCATCTCCACGCTTTCACGCAACTCGCGGGGCCGTTTCCTTTCGCTGACAGTCACAGCAAGGTGTGATAACCTTCAGTCAACAGACAGGACTACGGGTTTATTGCTTATTTCGGTCATCGCCATGAAGGGAAACGCCACGAAGTTAGAGGAATTGAGAGTCGCCACGCAGCGGCTCAATGCCGCAGTCAATGCTTGGAGTGTAGAGGTTGGCGGCGGCAGTGGCGGTAATCCTGCTACTGATAGGCTTCTCCGCCAACAGATTGCGTTGGCAGCAACATCCATTCTCACGGCTGTCAAGGACCCGGCAGGAATGGGCATGGAAGCCATTTCACAAGTCACAGTGATCACGGCGAACCGAATATTCTGGGAGTGGGGCGTGTTTGATGGTATCCCAACTGATGAGGATAGTGGCATCACTTATGCAGAATTGGCTACAATGGTGAACGCAGATGCCTCCCTGCTGGGTGAGGAATCCCAAACATTCTTGTCTCAATGGACAATCATTGTCGCTTCTAACCCAGCAAATCGTCCGAGTAGCTCGCATAGGAGCAGTACTCGTTTCTGCCGGTATTCTTCGGCAAATCGAAGTTGGGCGCGTTGCGCATACTTCAAGGTCCAGTATATTTGCCAGGGATCAAATGGCTGGCTTCACTTATCAGATGGCGTATGAATCAAGTCTTTTCTCATCTATCTATTCTACCGCTTTCTTTACTGACTTTGAAGTCCGTTAGTTGGGACAATGCCATGGCTTCGTATGCTACACTGCCACAATACTTTCAAAAGTATGGAAGGAAAGAGCCACAAACACAAGACCATGTGCCAGTAACCTTCGCAGCTGGTATGCCAGAGCTTACATACTACGAACTACTCAAGCGAGACCATGCACGAAGAGAGCGATTCACCAAGGCCATGGGACCCCTCGAGGAAAGTAGTAAGTCAGCTCGAATATTCATTTCATATTCTACAGTCGTGTTTGAAGGATAAAGAAGCACAATCTCTCGAAAGCGGAAGCCATTCTTGAGGTGGTTTCTATTCTTCTTTCTGCCCCTTCCCATAAGCTGACCACTGCCTCCAAATATTTTAGTGCCGATCACTGGAATCTACGACTTTAGCTGGGCAATTAACAAGGTAGTAGAAGAAGATTCGGAAAGAGTGTTGTTTGTCGACATCGGGGGTGGTAATGGCCATGCTCTTCTGGCCATTCACCGAGAATTTCCCGGGCTGCCTTTGAACCGCTGTATGCTGCAAGATTTGCCCGAGGTCATTCAGGCGGTAACAACCGAAGCCGGTCGAACAGACTTGAAGGAAGTTCAGAAGATGGCGATTGACTTCAACAGGGAACAGCCTCAAAAAGGTATAGTATCTTCATGTTCATGAATCCGAGACATCACTTTTGACGAGTCTAAGGAGCACTCATTTCCTGGATTCGACGCTGCCTCCACAATCACAGTGATTTAACAACTATCAACATTTTAAAGCACGTGGCTGACGCAATGGCCACTGACAGCAAGCTACTGATTCAAGAGGACATCCTAGATGATATGCCAAATGCATTGGCGTCCGTGGTAGATAGTAGGCAACTTCTAGATCTCGTTCTGATCAAGCCCAACTCTAGACTGTTCCTCCCGATACATTTGAGCGCAGAAAATCTATCCTCCTTCAGTATGGTTATGAACCGATTGCTGACGGCTAATATGTAGTGTTAATGATGAGTTTTGGAGGCAAACAGCGAAATCTAGACTGCTGGGAGGAGGTGACGTCAGAGGCTGGGTTGCGCATATCAGGTGTCTTCAAAGGGACTCAGAGCTCACTGGGTGTTATCGAGTGTGTCAAGCAAGCTTAGACAAGCTTGAAGTATGGAGGAGTAACACATGCCCCTAGCCAAGGGTTGGGAGAAGACATCGTATTGTAATTGCTTTGACAATTCCATAAACAGAGCAACATCTAGTGTCGTGCCTAGGCATAGTTTTGTCCGCATAACAATTTTTACATACAAGCAGAGATCTTATTGACGAATATCTGCTAGGCCACAAGCTACTCTACTATATTCAGCGAGAAAGATGCTACGTTTCGCAGCGGCTACCCGAATCGAGCTTAACAAGTGACGTCACTCCTAATTATGAATAATGACAGCATTGTTTGACATGTAATTAAGTCGAGTAAGTTTTGATTGTACTAGCCGGTCTTCAAAAATGAATAAGAGAAAGAAAGAAAACATTTGGAGATAGACTAGTCAGGCCGCCGGGATTGGCTTTGCCCTGTTTAGCGGACAGTTTCGATGTCAGGTCGTCATAAGCATACTAACCACCTATTCATTTCTATAATATGACTAACAAAGCACAGAATAGAATATTGGTGTTGGTGATAACGGATCTCTTGGTATGATTAGACTTGTCTTTGTCAGACACGCATGGACCAGCGAGTTAATGGCATTCATACCACAGGTTTTATTCACCAGAGTTCTGAATCGTTGAACAACTTCAAGAGGTGGTTTTTTATGCTGGGCAGACTTCATACACAACAACGGCTGAGTGAATTTCATGAGTTGTCGTGAAAATTTTGAGTGCTGGCCACATCAGACCAAAAAGGATACTTCCGTCACAGATAAAGTTCTTTCGAACTTTCCAACTTCTGGGAGAGCGCGTTGCAAACGCAAACCCAAGATTTTCGTCAAGCTTGGTCACTCGAAATCAAGAATTCGCTCCATCTATCGACTCTATCCATCAACGCCCGTCTTCTCGCAACTCGGTCATCTTTGCGGTCCCACTCCATCGGTAGTCCTGATCGACGTCTCTCACTATTACCATCTTCACGCCTCTCCTTCCACGGAGCGCCCCAATCTAGCTCGTACGTTCGAACTAGCCTTCAGTGCACGAAAAGCTGTCGCTAGTGGCCAAGAAAGAATTGACTGGAAAGAAGAGACGCGTTATCCCTTACTGCGGTCATGGCCTCGAGAATTCCTAGACCCCCGGGGCAATGGACAGATATCGCAGCACCAAGGATATATTCGGATCAATGCATCGACCAATACCTCAAACGCGTCAATATGGTGAACATTGCCATAAATAAAAAATTCAACAATATATGCAAGCGAATAGACGTCATGTCAGTTCAAATTACCGACTTCCTCAGCTTTCAGGGGCGGGCTGATAGCATAATCCACAACACAGGATTTCAGAGTGTATCAGATGGATCTCTCGCGCTGCGCGCTACCTCGGGCGGTCAATGTGGTACACATGGCGATCGAATCAAGGCGACTGTCGATATTCCCGGTGATGCACAGGAACAATACGATAAGCCAAGTCTGGTACGGCAAGACAAGCGACAAGGTCCTGAAGATTGTTTGCATCATGTCGCTTTCAGAGGGACGGGGTGTTCAGATAACCCTTGATTCAATCTCCGATCACGACTCGTCCTCAAGAGGGATGATGTCGGCGAGTCTGATCCAGAGTATGATGATCCGCAAGACAACGGAATTATCTATTGGGAAAGCTCTTAATTTTCACGGATGTACATCTCTTGGGGAAAAACATTCGCTCCTTTTTTAAGAGACGATAACACTTGAGAGGACTTCGAGCAACAGCTTATTGTCATTTTTCAAAGCCTTCTCAGAAGATCCGCTATCCTCTGGTAGTTTAAAGAACTTACAGTAAATTCCTGTCAACAGCTCTGAGCTAGCAGGCTGAATTAAATCCAAGTTGCATTGAAGACACGCTTCTCTCGAGCCTCTGTTGCTTATACTCGCTTCACAGAGGGTGAATTGGATTTGTACGACATCGCCTATTATCAATGCTATATCTTGATTCATTGAGAGAAAATTTCGATATGCCCGTCTATCAGGGTGATTACGAGAGCACAATTTCAACCGGGACTGGGTGATGCTTAAGATCTGGCTCAGCATAGCCCCGAGGGTCAGAAAATATTTACAAGCCCCCAGATAGGAAGAGACTGTGGAGAAATACATGCAACAAACTGAAAGGTCGAGGTCTAGATTATTCGCCATTGCTTTGGATCGATATTCTCTAGACCGTGATTCCGTCTTATTATGACACTCAGAATGAACACCTATCTCCTACATTCAGCGCCTTTTCGTCTTTTTCGTGTCGCTTTTTGACATTGCATGTGACTGAGTTATCGGACCCACTCCGAGATGACCCCAAGATACGGTTCACAGGGACGATTTGCAGAAAAAAAATGTAACTTGACTGCATTTCTCATCTTCCATACCACACCACCCCAAATATCGTGTTTACTAAACAAATCGACATCTGTTGTTACAATCACATTGCACTAAATCTAAACAGTTTATTTCCCAGATTCGACGAGCTAAAGTCGGAGCTGAGACAGTCAATCGCACGGATTTAGACAAAGGGTAGAAAACTAGAAGGAAAACTACCTTTATATGTTTACAGTATGTTATGCTTTGGCACAGTGGCTATAAAGATAGTATTTAGACATATTTCACTCTAAGACAACTATTATGGCAGCAGCTTGACATATACCAAGAAAGCTCTCTCTCTTGTGCGAGCCTGCGATTTTTTCGTGTGTTAGGTTTTAAGCATGATATTTGTGAACGTGTTCAACTACGTGACCAAGATCGTTCAGAGTTCAATAGGTTATAAACACTATAGAAGCTTAGATCATGTGTCAGGCCCTGAATGGCGAGGAATGCTGTACCGCCCCATGATCAATTGCCAGGAGTATCCCCGGCGGTTGGCCGACTTCTCTCCGTATATCCGTCTGTCTCCATGATGGACGGATGTTGAGATCTCCAAAACTGCGGGGAAGTTGGGGTGATGTCGTCGGGCTTGTCGCTGAATGTGGAGATGGGTCCACAATGACTACATTGAGCCGAGACAATGTCTGGTTGTCGTTTAGGCTAAAGGCATGTGCGGTGACCAAGATCGTGAGTGGGTGGATAGGTATGCGGGGATTGTCATTGTGCAGTCCAAGGTGGCATCGTCTGCATAGCGGAACAAGTCGAACCAGGTCGTGAGCATACAACATGTAGTTGGTAATTGCAGACTTTGCTAATTGCCGGATTCAGTCACAATGCATAAATGAATCCAATGTATCCGAATTAGGAGTGAGGCTCATGGAAGCTCTTTCCTCCCAGAACGTAACCCATTGATAATGCGCCACCATCTCCTGTTTCTCGTCTCACTCGGTCTTACCGCCGCAGAAAACGGCCTGAGCGGCTGGCTTCGATACGCGCTACTTTCTGACGCCGCTGCTCATGTCGAAAAGGTTCCGTCCTATATCATCGCCCTTAACACAACCAAAACCAGTCCGGTGTACGTGGCTGGTCAAGAGCTCAAGACAGGAATTGAGAGGATTCTCGGCAAGGCCACCAGGGTGGCCAGCAAACGGTGCAAGTCCGCAGCGACGATCACAGTTGGAACAATTGGGGCGTACACTGCCGATGGTGGCCAGCTTGTCGAAGAGCCCGATCTGGCGGAGGATGGGTTCTGGCTCAGCACAAAAGGGGATTCCATTAAGATATTGGGTCAGAACGAGCGAGGTGCGTTATATGGCGCCTTCGAGTACTTGTCGATGCTTGCACAAGGGAACTTCTCTGAGGTTGCATATGCCACTAGCCCGGACGCGCCGATCAGATGGGTCAACCAGTGGGACAACATGGACGGAAGCATCGAAAGAGGATACGCTGGTCCTTCCATATTCTTCGAAAACGGAACCATCAAACAGAATCTAACCCGCGTTGCTGAATATGCTCGTTTACTCGCCTCGGTCCGCATCAATGGCATTATTGTCAACAATGTCAACGCAAATGCTACTCTTCTCAACCCTATGAATGTGGCCGGGTTGGGCAGAATCGCGGATTCTATGCGGCCATACGGTGTACGCATTGGGATCTCCTTGAGATTCGACTCGCCACAGGTACTTGGTGGGCTCAGTACATTTGATCCTCTCGACAAGGATGTCATCTCTTTCTGGACAAATGTGACAGAGAACATCTACTCAGCTGTTCCCGATTTCGCTGGATACCTCGTAAAAGCGAACTCAGAAGGCCAGCCGGGACCATTGACCTACAATCGGACACTAGCCCAAGGTGCAAACCTATTCGCCAATACATTGCTGCCTCATGGTGGGGTTGTAATGTTCAGGGCTTTTGTATATGACAATACCATCAATGAGTCCGACTGGAAAGCCGACCGCGCGAATGCTGCTGTTGATTTCTTTCGGGACCTTGATGGAGATTTCGATTCGAATGTTGTAGTCCAGATCAAGTACGGACCCATCGACTTCCAAGTCAGAGAGCCGGCATCGCCTCTGTTCTCTCACTTGAGACAGACCGGTAGTGCCATTGAGCTTCAGGTCACGCAAGAGTACCTCGGTCAGCAATGCCATGTGCTCTATCTTGCGCCACTTTGGAAAACCATTCTTGATTTTGATATGCGTGTCGATGGCAAGCAATCGTTCGTCAAAGACATTGTCGGTGGTACTGTCTTCAACAGGTCGCTCACAGGATATGCTGCGGTTGTAAACGTAGGCACTAACACGAGTTGGCTCGGCAGCCACTTAGCCATGTCGAATCTGTATGCATATGGGCGATTGGCCTGGAATCCAAGTGATGAATCGATAAACATGCTGCATGATTGGGTCCGATTGACGTTCGGCTCAGATCCAATTCTCATTGACACCATCACGAAGTTGAGTATGGAATCATGGCCAGCATACGAGAACTATACCGGTAATCTCGGCATCCAGACGTTGACAGACATAACGGGGAACCATTTTGGCCCAAATCCGGCGTCACAAGACGACAATGGATGGGGCCAGTGGACACGGGCAGATGCTTTTAGTATCGGAATGGATCGTACTGTCAAGAATGGGACCGGATTCTCTGGTCAGTACCCCGCCGAGGTGGCCTCGATGTACGAGGAAATCAATACCACGCCTGATAATCTGCTGCTCTGGTTCCACCACGTAAATTATACACAGCTGCTCAATTCCGGCAAGACTGTAATCCAGCACTTCTATGACGCGCACTACGCGGGTGCAGAGACGGCGCAGACGTTTGTGAAGTTGTGGGAGGGCCTTGACGGCAAAATTGACAGAGAGAGGTTCGAGGAGACCTTGTTCCGGATCAAGTTCCAAGCTGGACATTCCATCGTTTGGCGAGATGCAATCAACGAGTTCTATCACAACAAGAGTGGTATCTCGGATGCATTAGCAAGAGTTGGATATCATCCTTGGCGCGTGGAAGCAGAGGATATGTTGTTGGATGGTTACAAAGTCGTGGCCGTCACCCCGTTCGAGACGGCCAGCGACTACTTTGCCATCATTACGACCCGTAACGATACGTTGGGAACCGCAACGACGGCATTATCTTTCCCGTCTGGAAAGTATGATGTTGCTGTGAATTATTTCGATCTTGCTGGAGGAAGAGCTCATTGGGAGGTGTTTCTGAACGACGTGTCGGTGGGAGGATGGCGAGGCACAAACGAAGACAGACTGGGCCACGCGACGTCGACACGACTCGATGGCCATTCTGCCACCCGCATTACGTTTCCTAGGATTGAAATCACCAAGGGCGATGTGCTGAAGATTGTGGGTACACCAGATGGAATTGAGGCGGCGCCGTTAGATTACATTGCCGTTCTTCCAGCAGGCGTAGTGGATTAAGTTGCTGATCTTCGAACAAGGGCGCAAGACGCGAGTTTCAACGTGTTCCCTGTCTTGAACAGGGAAGTTGCTGACTCTCTTGAAGCGAGTGGATCTGGAAGCAATCTCAGAGTTGGCATGGTGTACAAGGTAGCGATAGTGCAACGTGCGTCCTGGCCGGCATTAAGGTCACATTCCCTGAATGTCGAGACAGAGGTCTACTTACCTCCACATCCAGATGCAATTGAGCTCTTTTATTATGACAATGTATGACAATGACGATGCATTATCAGACAGCTTTACTAAGCTAACTGCCCTTCCGATATTGCCTCTTGGTCTATGCACATTCGGTCACTTAGTGATCGCGATTAATGTGCGAGCGTATAAGAACTGTAAAGAATGCAAAGTCACAAACAAGCAACTTTCTTTGATATGCACTGATACATCAAGGAATATTCAACCTACTCACACAGTTGTTTTCTACGCGCCGCTCACACAATACAGCACGAGCATATTTATACGTGCATAGTCCCGGCTCCTTAGGCTCAATTGACTAAACTCAACATAGTACTAGGATCTCGCCTCCTTGAGAAGAATAAACGATACTACGTCACAGGCCACACGGCGGCACCTGCTTTCAATGTGAGAAATGTCCCTACTATCCGAGTTGGGGCTATTAGGCGGCGGAAGGCCCATCCGAGACAGACTCTGTCCCAACAGCAATTAGTACTGTCCCAACCGTAGTTACAATGCACCAATTGCGGTTGCGACCCTCTCCTTTTTCCCCTGACATATTGGAGTTTCCGCCTCTGCATTCGCGCTTGCCTCAGTTGAGAGTTCCTGACATGAAAATGCAAGGAAGGCAAGCCGAGTTCCAGAAACAGAAAGGCGAGTCTGGACAGCCGGTTCGTGTGCTTTTCCCCCCTTTTCGCTTCGCCTCGTTCATTCAGTCAATGCTGCGTTTGCAGCACTCTGCCCAATGATCACCACTCACACAGACCACCTATCCCCTCAGCAGATACCCCTTTTCTCCATCCGTTAAAGTACGGGCTGAGTCCAGCGAAGTCAAACAAATCAGTCGTTCAGACAATCGAATTATCGATGTTGTAGTCACGTCCCAAACCTGACGAGCTGTTGCCATCTGCAGATTAGCCTTACAAATCTCAAGTCATTAAGAACTAGTATGAGCATCGTAGCTATCGTTAGAATTGCAGTAGGGGTCACTGAATATCGTGGTCATTTTCATGGAAATGCCTATGCATCTTAGGGGCTTGGAGCTTGCGTCAGGGCGTAATTAGCGCCTCAGAGTATAGACCGCATTCATTTCTCGGACACTGACTTTCTATTATCTGAAAACCCCTTGGATCTAGAGGCAGCGGGTCACCCCGACTCGGAGGGCAAATTGTGTTGTTGGAAGGTACTGATTGACTTGACGGACAGGGATCAAATTAATCTAGCTAGGTCACAAGACTGGACGAACAGGTGCAGCTCGCGTCGAGCACGCGTCCTCTCAAATCACTCATCAAGCATTGAATATATCTAATGGCACTTAAAAGAGCTCAGTCGCCAGTTCAAAAATCAAGACTACTACCCTCAATCATCGACCCTTATTCTAGCCTGTACACTTCGCCTCTAGACACCGTCAACCGCCTCTGTGTCAACCAGTGACGGAGTTTGCTCCCCAACGGCGTCTACATTGCAACATTTCAAGCAGCTCTACAGATTGCTTGTAGGCTAGTTTTACGCATCACAGGAAGCCGCGCCGCGCGCCTTGGTATCTTGTAGTTTGACCTCGGACGCTGCTTAGCCTAGGCACATTCGATCTAGTGGTGGTAGGCTCTACCCATCATGCCGGTCTGAGACAATCCAAATCCAAAGTTATGAGCTCGACTAATTGTGCTTTAGCCAAAACGTCAGTGGCAGCAACAGGGAAAGGGGAGATGTGTCAAGAAACGTCAAGTCATTGTCGACAACAAGATCATCGTCGCGAGCAAGTACTACCGCTATTTGAAGAGAATGCGTTTCATAGAGGACAGCATCAGAATAGGAAAGTCTAAGGGTACTTACGTCATTGGAAGAATACAACACAATCCCCACGATTCAGACGAAGAGTTCGTTCTCTGTCTTTTCGCCATGCCCAAGCCAACGGAGGACTTCCCAACGCCGGATATCCTCGTACCTGTAAAGAAACAGAACGTCACGTTTTTCCCTTGGATGTCCACGAGACCGACAGGAGGAGAGGAAAAGATTCTTTCGCCCCAGCCTCCAGATGATCGAATTGTCGCAAACTTCATCATGGCCCTGGCCATTCACGACACGACCCGAACGGATTTCAAGTCTAGTGGACTCTACGCTAGAACAGTTGAAGCCATAATTGGTGCCTATGTTGCCGATGACTGTGGAATTCTGATCGGAGATGGAGCCCGCAAGGTCGTACATTTTGCGCACAATGAGATGGAGAAGCTGATGAAGAACGCATACCGCGCAACCGAAGCGGAGCTCTTAGCTCAAGTACAGGACTTAGAGGAAGAGATTAAGAAGATGAAAGATCGAAAAAAGACATTTAAGAAGGAGTTAAAGAAATTCGAGCTCGACCGCGAACAAGAGGTAAGCTTGCGATCGAGAAAGCATTGTTATTGTTTCAGTCTTGTTGAGCAAAAGAAAATGCATGGAGACAGAATATTCAAGGAGCTTAAAAGATAGTTTAGCAAGTCTAATCAACCATTTTTCATGCTAGATAGTAATGTCAATGTAACGGACCAGATAGGTAGTCTATTCAGCTAGCTATAGTCTCAATAACGAGAATAGTTCAACTAA